TCAGTGTCGTATATCTTTAAAAAAATGTAATAACAATTTCAAGTATAATATTTATCCTTCAATGTACAAAGATGTTAATGTGTTAAAATACAGAACGTTTTTATAAATGGCTGATACTACTTTAAATAAATCAGAGTTCTCTCATGAATACAGTTTATGAAAATTGATGTGAATTTAAAAAGCTTGCATTTAAAAATATATGCGAGCGCGATTCGATACTTTATATTGGTACGGAGATGTACGTATAAATTAAGCAGCGTTAAAAATAAATTTTTGATAACAAATCATACTTTTAACAAAACATGCGCTTGTCAAGATAAAAATAGAACGTTCTCAATGTCTTTTATTTCTCTATTTGGATATGGTAATCTGTCTGGTATTATGATTTCAACTGTTACTTAATTCGCACAGAAAATATTAATCTTAATTGAAACTTCAATTTCTTGAAGATTGAACAGGGACTTTTAATTACATTTATCGATAAGCATTATTTAATTTGACAGAATTAATCTTTTTTGCATACAGATTTCTATATGTAAGATTGTTTTGCTGAAATATTGTTTTTTATAAGAATTAAAATATATTTACTATTGTTTAAAATGGCTGACTTCAATTATTCTTAAATTTAATTTTTTATGAAACACTTTGACTATTTACTAATTATTTAATGATTGGAAAAATTTAGGACAAAATGTAGATGACCCCTAGCTATAGCAAATCTATGTGACCACATTTGTGTAATTATTATTATTTAGTATATAGTTATTAACCGCATCATTGATAATACGCTGATACGGTTATTAATTATACAGCAAATAATTGCATCTACAATGGAATGACTGCAAACATCGTGGTTTTCAATATAAATTTTAGATTTTCTGTACATAGTAGGATACAATGTAGCCTTTGTATAAGATCACATATGTTAGAATTTTTTTATTCTCATATCTATACATTTCCAGATTGTCACATGTTCAAGTTTTCAAATTTTATAGTTTCTGAATTTCAACTTTTCAGCTTCCAAATTCTCAGATATCTTAATTCTCAATTTCTCTAATTTTTCATATTTCCATATTCGAAATCTCAGGATTCTTAAATTTCTATACCTTTAACTTCTCATATTTCCTCTTCCTAAATTCCCAAATCTCCAGGTACTTAAATATTCGAGTCTTCAAATTTACAATTTCATTCTCATATTTTGATCTTAGCCATCAGGCCAAGAAGACCCACAAGTCACATTCCAGTATTTCTAAATCCCCTAAACTATGCACATTCCCATATTTTGAATCCATCCTCAGATATTGAAATCCAAAGAAGACGAGCCCTCAGAAAAAATAATCGGTTTGTATTTTCCTGAGGGAAGCCAGATTCGCTGTCGACCGTGCACGTGATTCGCACGAAAGGGTTAAGCATTGAAAAGCCGCGCACGTATCTCGAATAAAAACTTTAACGAATATCGGTCAGTTTGAAATACTCGTATAGTTTCGAGCACGATGCGGCACGTGTTTGGTAAAACGATCAAAAAATGATTTTCCGCGAAAACACCTATAACATCGCGATCCGGTGGTAGCTAGTGACCGTCACTATTTCCACGCTTCCTGATAACAGACACACGAACGTACCGATATCAGCTGGCTGGTCGCGCGAGAATTAATTGCCGAAGCGGCAATAGATCAAGCGGAAAGTTTTATCACCGAGCGCAACCGCACGGGTCAGACGGGAACGCGGTCGCTACTGTTAAACGGAAAAATTTCGCGGCACGGATCTTTGGACTCCACGAGATTTGATATATGGAAAACTCATTAGAATTCTATCTGAAGTCGTTCCACTGGAACAAAGAGGTGGCCCTCGCGCAACCAGACCAACGAGTTTCGATAAAGCCGAGGGAAAAAGTGATTATGCCTCGCGCCGATAAATATTTACGCCTGCTTAGAGAACAAAGAGAATTTGTTCTTTCGGATTATTGCAAATATTTCATTTTATTCGATCGTACTAAGAAATATCTTATACCTTTCAAACATGCACAACGTTAAATTTTAAAATGTTCACCAAATATGTTTTCTAATTTGTCACATTACAAATTCTTGAACACTATAATGACAAGTCCACCGTGTACTGTTGTACTTATTCGAATAATTTCTGCCGGGTGCAGCCCCACCGTAAGGCCCTACCTTATAGTTACACCAGCTAGGATGTTATCACAAAGTAAATATTCAATTCTTTTCTAGCATCAAATGTTCGTGCAACATAAACGGCACGAACACAGTGTATTATACAAGTTGGCGTCTTTTTATCGCGCATCCGTATTTCCATTATGTCAGCAAACGACACAAAGCGGAACACAAAAAAAGGGAGAACAGAAGGCAAAGAACGAAAGAAACGGACTAGTACTTTTCAATATATGTATTATCGCCTTTTTAGTACGCTTTAATCGCTTCCCTTTATCAGAGATGACGAGGATAAAAATGTGCTCGTGGGTTCACACACGGAGAAATCGAAAGAACCGCGTTCTTCCGCGAGGCAACCTCTTAACAGGACGCTCTGACATGGCAGTAAGTGCAAAATAAAAAAAAAGAGAGAGAAGAAGAGGAGAAAGAGGAAGAGAGGGAAAAAGGGCAGACCGTATCGTACGGGTACGATATTAAAAAAGAGGAGAAGGAACGGCGAGAGAAATCGAGAGGAGTGTTTTCGTCATAGCACCGAGGCGAGGAGAAATGACATTACATACCGTGAAGGCGCGATGCAGAAAAAGCTCTCGAGCTTCGAGCAATGCTTCGCGCCCGTCGACGACACCAACCACGACTACACACCGTCGACGACTGCAAAAAACCGCTTGAAAAGCTCCCGCTACCTGGCCTCCAACGATCGCCCCGATTCCAGCTACACGATTATACGCGTACCATTCACGCGTGCAAGAACGTTTACGCGCTTAGAACCGCCTCTGCTTTATTCCACCGTCTAACCAGAACTCCGCGAAACAATGCGATAGAACTAATTTCTTGATTCAACGATGCAACGATCGAATGTTTTATCGATTATGCTCGATAGAGATGTTGCATTTATAAGCTGCACAATTTCCATGTATTATCCCTTTAGACCGAGGTGACAAGCAGTTTGTTAAAAAGATAAGATCGGTATACGAGTATATTTTATATGACCTTCTCGTAGATCAGAAAAAATCTGAATCTATCTGAAAAATTGTCGAATCCAGAAAAATCTGTTCCTTTTATATTCTTCGTAAAGGAAGGATCGTTGACTGTGCATAACGCGTAGAAAAGCACGAAGCTCGGAGCGTTCGGATCCAAAGCCGAACAACAATAGTTTCTCGATACGACGTCTATTTACAACCGTGGAACGGCAAAGATTCCTCGCGCATCGCGACCCTACACGCCCCGGTTAATAACAAACACCGCGAACGGTTCCCCCATAAAAAAGCAAAGCAAAGCGCTCGTCTCGACGAGAGATACGGAGCGACGACGAGTTCTTTGGAGTGCGTAAAGTAGCACGGGTAACGCGCGTGCTAAAAGGGCGACGTCTGACGCGGTCGAAAGAGGAACGGAGAACAGCGTCTCGCGGCAAGGAACAACGTTTCGATTCGTCTTTTAGCGTGCCGATGATCGTCGAGACGCGTTCGCCGCCGCAAAACCATAATTCCCCATCGGCGAGAAGAAACCTCGGCCGCTTCCGACGACCTCGGTTACTTTTCATCCGTCAAAACTCAACGGCGCGGTACCGTAGACAGGGTAAAAAGGAACGAGGGACACCGATAGTCGAGACAAAGACGCGAGAAGGACGCGAACAGGAGGATATCGGGCCGCAGGACGAGGACAGACGTTCTGGTGGAACACGGTACACGGCGCGAAATGCTCTTCACTGATTTCCTTCTCTAAATATGGCCGCCTTCGTACATCCTCTCTTTCTCGAAGACCGAACCCGG